TAGCGCTGCATGGGGTTGTTGTGACCAAAGTGCAGGACCTGGCACTTGGCCTTGTTGAACCTCATACAGTTGGCCTTGGCCCATTGATCCAGCCTGTCCAGGTCTCTCTTCCAGCCCAGCCCAGCCCAGCCCCTCCCCAGCTCTCCCCACCTCCCCTGCCCTCTCCCCAGTCCAGCCCATCAGAGCAGCCCAGTCTGGGCTGGCTCAGTGTCACTGCCCACCACAGGGAGCTGCAGAACTCTGGGCACTCACCCCACAGCCCCACCCCCTCTGAAGGGCACAGCAGCTTCTGGGGGGGCAGAGAAGGGGTTTCAGGCTCCCCATCAGCCCCAGGCCTGGTGCTGGCCAGAACGGCATGAGCAAACAGAGGCTACTCATTCTCTGGCTCTCCTGAATTCAGGTTGTAGGTGATCCTTGATGGCAACTGAATTTTCCCCCTCCTCAGCTCCCACCACCCCACTCCCCACTACAACACCAGAGTCATGGCCCTGGGGGTCCTCAGGCAGCTCCTGCATCTCTCCAGTCTCCCTTCCCTCTGCCTGCGGAGTCCTTCCTGACTCCCATGGCACTGCAGAGCCCTTGTCCGTGTGTACATCAATTTAGTGCTTTCCTTTTGTGGGACTTCACCTTTATGTGTTTCTCACCTTCTTAGTCTCCATTCCTTCTAATTCCAGGGCACATGGTGAGTCCCCACTCTCTCCTCACACGTCAAAATTTATTTCAGTAGAATCATGCCATATGTTAAAATAACTGAGAAGATAGTGAGGAGCTCATGGACCGTTTCCCCTGCCACTGGGCAACAAGAACAGAGCTTTAAATCCAGAACATTTGATCCAACTGAAAACAATGATTACATAAGCTTCAACCAAAAAGCACTGAGAAAAAAAAGAGAAGAGAAATATCAAAAGAAGAGTTCTTGGATGTTTTCTTAGAAGAAACTTTGGAGGAAGAGCACAGCCTTCAGGTACTCACCCAAGGGATCTTTCATGAAGAGCTGCTATCTGACACATGTGACAGAGTGCTGCGCAAAGGTCAGAAACAACAGTACAAACTCTCAACAGAAGGTTTATATACCCAGAAAATTATGCCTAAGTACAGTTATTCCTAGAGAAATAATCAGAATTATGGGGTAAGATAAAAGCTGGGCAAGGTACAGAAGATGGGAGGCAGGTTATTGTCAGTGAAACCGCACCCATTGCATCAGTTTCAACAGGGCAACCTTGATTTCCTTGTTCCTCATGCTGTAGATGAGGGGGTTCACTGCTGGAGGCACCACCAAGTACAGCATGGCCACCACGAGGTCCAGAGATGGGGATGAGATGGAGGGGGGCTTCAGGTGGGCAAACACTGCAGTGCTGAGAAACAGGGAGACCACGGCCAGGTGAGGGAGGCACATGGAAAAGGCTTTGTGCCGTCTCTGCTGAGAGGGGATCCTCAGCACAGCCCTGAAAAGCTGCACATAGGACAGCATGATGAAAAAGAAACACCCAAAGACAAAAAATACACTAAACAACATAAGCCAAAATTCCCTGAGATAACTGTCTGAGCAGGAGAGCTTGAGGATCTGGGGCACTTCACAGAAGAACTGGTCAACAGCATTGCCTTGGCAGAGGGGTATGGAAAATGTATTTGCAGTGTGCAGGACAGAATTGAGGAACCCACAGCCCCAGGCAGCTGCTGCCATGTGAGCACAAGCTCTGCTGCCCAGGAGGGTCCCGTAGTGCAGGGGTTTGCAGATGGCAACGTAGCGGTCATAGGCCATGACGGTGAGAAGATACAATTCTGCTGAAAAAAAAAATACAAAGAGAAATACTTGGGCAGCACATCCTGTGTAAGAAATGGCCCTGCTGTCTGAGAGGGAATTGGCCATGGATTTGGGGAGAGCGGTGGAGATGGAGCCCAGGTCGAGGAGGGAGAGGTTGAGGAGGAAGAAGTACATGGGGGTGTGGAGGTGGTGGTCGCAGGCAATGGCGGTGATGATGAGACAGTTGCCCAGGAGGGCAGCCAGGTAGATGCCCAGGAAGAGCCAGAAGTGCAAGAGCTGCAGCTCCCGTGTGTCTGTGAATGCCAGAAGGAAGAACTGGGCGATGGAGCTGGTGTTGGACATTCTGGCCCTATGGTCATTGCAATCTGTTTAAGGAGGTAATGGAAGTGAGAAGTTAGGGGAGAATTCTTTGCAAAATTCAAACCTATTTCTTATAGAAACCCTGCCAACTCTCCTCTCCCTTTTCATGAAGACTTTCGCTGAGCTCTGGTTGGTGCTGGCTGAGGGTTCCCCAGGAAGTCAGAGGCTCTGCTGTGGGCTTTGCAGGAGTTTGTCCTGCCGTACTGCAATAGGTAAAGAGGAACACGGGGTGATCCCATTTCTCTAAAGCAGAGCAGAGATGTGGGGATTTTGTTTTGTGTCTTCTCTTCCAGTTGCCCCACCACAGCTCAGGAGTTGTTTTCATGCAAAAACCCCTGCCACTTCTGCTGCACTGCCGGGGAAATCTTGGGGGTCCTGAGAGGCGAAGGGACTGTCCCTTAGTGCAGAGGAAGGACAGATGCTCTGCCTGTGCTGGCAGCTCTTTCAGCTCCAGGACTATCACACTCAGGGGTTCCCCCGAAAAGAAACAGGGCACTGCTGGGAGCAGAGGAATCCAGTTTCCCAGTGCAGATCTCCAAACCCAACAGCCCATTGTACCTGTGGAGGATCTCAGCTCTGCCCTCCCTACCAGGGACACCGAGGGCTCATGGCAGCTGCCCCCCTACAGCCACACAGCAGCATTACAGTGGCCTCAGCCCGTGGTTTCTTCTCTGTTGAGCAGTTGGATAACACAATGATTCAATGGGACAGTTATGAACTTCTGGAGGGAAGCATGCAGCTCAGCACAGCCCCCCAGGGAAAAAGTCAAATGTCCTAGCGATGGGATGTCCTGAAAAGAGGGTCAGATCTTTTCCAGCCTCACACATCATAGCACCCAAAGCTACAAAGTTTGGGAGGGGTTTCGTTGCTTTTCCTCCATGGAAAAATCGGCATGACAGGACCCATAGTGACGGTGTCTCAGCTGAACCAGGATCCTCCCCCCTCTCTTTTTGGTCAGGCTGCTGGGAAGGCAACTGATGGCCAAGTCCTTGTGACACTGAGGGTTGAGGGCAGAGGCTCTGCTGTGTGAGTGAGGAGACCAGGGGGTGGTTCCAGGGAAAGCGTCTGCAGTGCAGGGGATGGCAGGGAGATGCCTGAATCCCTCCTCCCACAGTATTTCTGGCAGCACTTCTCTCTTTCTTCCTGCCCATGGCTTTTCTGCCTGGAGCTCTTCTTGGCAAGGACCTGTTTCCCTGTCCTCACCTCTCCTCCCCCTGCATGCTCACAGTCCCCACCCCTCCTGCTGTGTGCTCAGCTCTGCCCTGCAGACCCCTCCTGGCAGCAGGGCACTGCCCAGGGACATCTCCGTGTGTGCATGGGGGAAGGAGCACCTCAGACAAGTGCTAACGAGATCTGGGGTCTCATTGCCTACTCCATAGCAGAGCAGTAAATTCCCATCTCCCACTGACCACCCAGCCCACAAGAGGAGAAAACTCAAAGTACAGATTTCTACCCTTTCAGTGAAGGCCCTACCTTGACATCCTTCTTTAAAATGACCAATCTGCAAATGTCCTCTGGGTGGTGTATAAGCCTGAGCAGCTCTGTCTCATGCTTCACCCTCTGGACAGCAGATGTTCCCTGCCCAGCCTGGGGTCAATGTTTCCACACACAACAGCGTTGTGGGGATCAACCTGGGCAGGCTGAGTGCTGACACTGGCCAGCAGCAGAGTCCCTGTCCTGATTCACAGCCCCCTGGGTCACCGGTACCCTATTCTGAAGGACAAACCTTGTTAATCTTGGCTTCACACCCGCCTTCAAATCCCTGGAGCCATCCCTGGGAGCAGACAGCCATCATGCCCGTCCTTCTGTCGCTGCAGCAAGGAAGCCCTGCTCTGCAGCACATCCTCTTCCTCTAAAATGGGAAACTCTGAGAGTCCTCCTGAAAGTTCCTATCTGCTATGGGATGGTACCAGCCTTTGGATATCCCTCCATGAACACCAGCTACATTGTCCTTACCATGAAGAGGGTTCTGAAGATCTCTGCCCCCAGCAAGCTCTAAGCATCTTCCCTCCTGAAACGGCCTGTAAAATCTCCCCTAATTCTGTCCTCTCCCCTCGGTGCCTGCAGGTAGTGCCCTCAGCCCTGCTGCGCTTTGCAGAGGAGCTGCTCCTGGGCAGAGCTGTCTCTCGGCAGTGCTGCCCACTTGCCATCAGCTCCCTCCATCCCAGGAGCCCAGCCCAGCTCAGCAGCAGAGGACCAGCCCAAGGCAGCACTTGCTCTGCACGCACACCACCCTCCCTGGAAATGCCGCTGGGTCTCCAGGGATCACAGCTCCTGAAAGGCAGCAGGGTCTCTCCTGGGGAACCCAATCTGAAGCAGACTGAAGTCATCACTGACTGTCCCTCTCTAATCACTGAGCAGACTGATTCCTGCGTTGGGAATTGCTCTGCAGGCACTGTCAGTGTTCCCCTCTGAAAACCCCCATTCCTGTCCCATTGTCAGGCAGGGCATGCAGGCA